TGGTGGTGTGTGGTGGTGTGGGTTGGGTTGTGTTGGTGGTGTGTTTGGTGGTGGGTTGGTGGATTGGTTGTTGGTGTGTTGGTGGTTGGTGGGGTTGGTGGTGGGGTGGTGTGGGGTGGTGGGGGTGTGTGGGGTGTGGTGTGGGGTGATGGTGGGGTGGTGGTGGTTGGTTGTGGAGGTGGGGGTATTTTGGTAGTGTGTGGTGGTTTGTAGTTGGAGTGGTTGTATGTGATGTGGTAGTAGTATAGTGTAGTTAGTAGTAGTGTAGCAGTATGGTAGTAGTAGTAGTGGTAGTAGTAGTGTGTCCATGTTCGACTAATCATAGTTATTAAGTAGCATTCTCTTTGGCCATTCACCCGGGCAACTGGTTCCCCAAGTCGAGTCAGCTTGTGCTGAGGGTTTTCTTCTCCCAGAAGAGCGGTCTCAGGAAGGCTGAAGGAATCACCATGGGCGTACCGTAATTACTCAACTGTAGGGAGCCTTGTTAAATGCAATCCCCTGATAGAAAAGAAAAAAAAACGCCAGTATCTTTGTTTATGTGAGCTGTAACGTGGGATCACTTAAGCATACCACTGGATTTTCTGGCTTAAGCTGAAGCCATACTCCAGATGACTGTGTTGTCCGAAGACATTGCGGCTATAATGACTGACGACATTCGCTAAGTCATTAATAATGAGAGCATAAGAGATAATGATCGTCCCTTTCACTATCTCAACAGACGAGCCCAAGCAACCAAACCTTCAGTATAATTAATTAACCTAGAGAGGCCAGGTAAAATCCACTACTACATTACGGTCCGTTTCGTAAACTTGTCCCGTCCATGACCAAGCAGGTAGGGGACCCCGAGTGCCATGTACAGTGTTGGTAGAGAAGTAAGTGCGGCCGAGCTCTGAGGAGTGTGTTGAAAGTGTTGCATCAAAGGTATAGTGTATAGTACCACTGGTCATCCAGTGTAGTTGTAGTGGTGGTAGAATGGTAAGTATAGAGTAGTATTAAGTAGTGGATAGTAGTAGTGGTAGTTGTAATGTATTATTGGATTGGTAGTAGTATTGTTAGTATTAGTGGTAGTTGAAGTGTAGTACTAGTAGTGTAGTAGTATTAGTGGTATTAGTAGTTGTAGTTGTAATGGTAGAGTAGTGGATAGATAATGTTAGAATAGTGGTATAGTAGTAGTGGTAGTACAGAGTGTAGTATTTGTGGTATAGTAGTGTAGTAGTAATGGTAGTAGTAGTGGTAGTTGTATGTAGTAGTAGTGGTAGTAGTAGTGGTAGAAGTAAGTGGTAGTACGTAGTACAGTAGTGGAGTAGTAGTGGTAGTTGTGAGTAAGTGATAGTAGTAGTAGTGTAGTAGTAGTGGTAGTATAGTGGTAAGTTTGTAGGGTAGCGTTTAGTGGAAGTTTTGTAGTTGGTAGGTTGTATGGTAGTTGTAGTGTAGTAGTAGTGAGGTATTTATAGTGGTATTAGTAGTATGGTATTAGTAGTGGTAGTAAGTAAGTGGGAAGTTTGTAGAGGTAGTGTATAGTGGTGTAGTAGTGAGTGTAGTAGTAGTGTAAGTAGTAGTATGGTAAGTTTGTAGTTGTAGTTGTAGAGGTTAGTTGTGAGTGGTAGTTGTAGTGGTGTTGTAGTGGAATGTAGTATGTATACTAGTGGTAGCAGTAGTGGTAGTAGTAGTATGGTAGTAGTAGTGGTAGTAGTAGTGTGGTAGAGTAGTTGTAAGTTGTAGTGGTAGTAGAGTGATAGTATAGTGGTAGCAGTAGTATGTAGTAGCAGTGGTCTTGTTTGTAAGTAGTAGTAGTATTGGTAGTAGTAGTGTAATGTAGTGGTAGTAGTAGTGGTAGAGTAGTAGTGTTAGTATTATGCAAGTAGAAGTTCGTTGTTGTATGTATAGTAGTAGTATTAGTAATAGAAGTAATAGTAGTGGTAGTAGTATGGATATTGTAGAGTAGTAGTAGTGGTATAGATGTTAGTAGTAGTGGTAGTAGTAGTGGAGTAGTAGGTAGTTGGTAGAGTAGTGTATTTGTGTGGTAGTAGTAGTGTAGTATAAGTGGGTAGTAGTATATTATTAGTAGTGGTAAGTTGTAGTGGTATAGTAGTGGTAGTAGTAGTGGTAGTAGTAGTTGCAGTAGTTAGTGGTTTTTAGCAGTGGTAGGTGTAGTTTTGAGTTTTAGTAGAAGTGGTATAGTTGTGTAGTAGTAGTGTTTTAGTATGTAGTATAGTGGTAGTAGTAGTGATAGTTGTAGTGTAGTAGTATGGTAGTAGAAGTGGTAGTAGTAGTGTAGTGTAGTGTAGTTGTAGTGGTAGTTGTAGGGTAGTAGTAGTATAGTAGTGGTAGTAGTAGTGGTAGTAGTATGGAAGTATGTGTAGTTGTAGTGATTGTATAGTGGTATAGTAGTGAGGTAGTAGTAGTGGTAGTAGTAGTGTATTGAAGTGGAGTTTTTAGTAGTAGTGGTAGTAGTAGTGGTGGTAGGAGTAGTGGTAGTAGGAGTGTTATTTGTATTGTATTAGTATGTAATGTAGTATGGTAGAAGTATTAGGTAGTTGTTGTGGTAGTATTATTGAAATGTAGTATTTTGTAGTAGTAGTAGTGTAATAGTAGTTAGTTGTTGTGGTAGTAGTAGTGGTATAGTAGTGGTAGTAGTATTGTAGTAGTAGTGGTAGTTTGTAGTGGTAGTTTGTAGTGGTAATAGTATTAGTATTTGTATGGTAGTAGTAGTAAGAGCAGTAGTAGTATAGTAGTAGTAGTATAAGGTATAGTAGTAGTGTAGTAGTAGTGGTAGTTGTATTGGTAGTAGTAGTGTAGTAGTTGTTGGGTAGTTGGTGTGGGAGTTGTGTGTGGGGGGTTTAATAGTAGTAATGGTAGTAGTAGTGTAGTTGTAGTGGTAGTAGTAGTAATGGTAGTAGTATGGTATTGTAAGTGGGAGTAGTTAGTCTAGTAGTAATTAGTAAAGTAGTGGTAGTAGCAATGGTAGTTGTAGTGGTAGTATTAGTGGTAATAGTAGTGGTAGTTGTTAGTAGTAGTATAGTAGTAGTAGTAGTAGAGTATATGTATAGTATGGGTAGTAGTATAGTAAGTGGTAGTATGGTAGTAGTAGTGAATAGTAGTAGTGGTAGTAGTAGTGGTAGAAGTAAATGTAGTTGTAGTGGTAAGTAGTAGTGGTAGTCGTAGTGGTAGTTGTAGTGGTTAGTAGTAGTAGTAGTTGTAGAAGTAGTGGTAGTATAGTGGTATTAGTAAGTATAGTAGTGAGTAGTAGTGGTAGTAGTAAGTTGCATTGTAGTGGTAGTAGAGTGGTAGTAGTAGTAGTAGTAGTAGTGTAGTAGTAGTATGGGTAGTAGTAGGGTGTGGTGGTGTATAGTAGTAGGTATGGATTGTATGTAGTTGTAATGGTAGTAGTTTGGTAGTAGTAGTGGTAGTTGTAGTGGTAGTAGTAGTGGTTGTAGTAGTGGTAGTAGTAGAAGTAGTAGTAGTGGTAGTATAGTAGTAGTAGTAAGTGGTAGGAGTAGTGGTAATTGTAGTAGTAGTGTATATAGTAGAGGTGTAGTAGTGGTAGTAGTAGTGGTAGTAGTAGTTGTAGTATAAGAAAGGGTAGTAAGTATGTGGTTAGTGATGTATTGGTAGTAGTAGTGGTAAGTAGTAGTGTAGTAGTATCGGTTGTTGTAGGGTAGATTAGTGGGAGTGTTGTGGTATGTGGTATGTAGTTGTAGGGGTAGTAGTAGTGGTAGTAGTAGTGGTAGTAGTAAGTGGTTAGTAGTAGTAGTGGTTAAGTATAGTGGTGTAGAGTGGTAGAGTAGTAGTGGTAGTAGTAGTGGTAGGTAGTAGTTTGTAGCATATGGAGTAGGAGTAGTGGTAGTAGAAGTAGTGGTAGCAGTAGTGGTATAGTAGTAGTGGTAGTAGGTAGGAGTGGTAGCAGTATGGGTAGTAGTAGTATGGTAGTAGTAGTATTGGTACAGTAGTGGTATAGTATAGTGTAGTAGTAGTGTGCCATGTGTTCGGACATAATCATAGTTTATAAGTACATTGCTCTTTGGGCCATTCGACCCGGCAACTGTGTTCCCCAAGTCGAGTCACAGTCTTGTGGCTGAGCGGTTTCTTCTCCAAAGAACGGTCCTCAGAAGGTCTGGAGGAATCACCATGGGCGTTTCGTAATTAACTCACTAGGGAGCCTTGTTAAATGCCATCCCCTGATAGAGAGACCCAGTATCTTTGTTTATTTTGAGCTTAACGTGTGATCACTTAAGCTACCACTGGACTTTTCTGACTTAAGCTGGAAGCCATACTCCAGGAGTAGGACGTGTGTTTGTCGAAGACATTGTAATGTGCGTGGCTATAATGACTGACTACATTTCGGCTAAGCATGAATAATGAGAGCATACGATAAATTGAAAAAAAAAAAAATTTGTTTTTCGTCCTTTCTGATCTCAACATTGCGATCCCAGCAACCAAAAACTTCAGGTATAATTAATTAACTAGAGAGGCCAGGTAAAATGCACTACTCATTACGTCGTTCGTAAAACAGTGTCCCGTCCATGACCAAGGCAGGTAGGGGACCCGAGTGACATGTACAGTGTTGGTATAGAAAGTGGAAGTGGCCGAGCTCTGAGGAGTGTGTTGAAGTGTTGCATCAAGGTGCAGTGTATATACCACTGTGTCAGTCCATTGTCTCCCCCGCAGGATCATTCAGTCTGATACTGAACCAGGAACCAGGTCTCAACAAGGACATCATACTAGTAAGTGTAACCGGGTCCAGTAGTGCCTGGTTTTTAATACATAGTTCGCCCACTGTAGATAGGCACCACACACGTATCATCCTTGTATAGGATAGTTCCACCATACTCATGTATCCTTGTAAGGATAGTCGCCTTACTCACTATCCTTGTAAGGATAGTCACCTCACTCACTCTCCTTGTAAGGACAGTCACCTCACTCACTATCCTTGTAAGGAAAGGCATCGCTGGGTTTTCCTTAATAAGTTTATCGTATGGAGATGACAAGCTAATTTATACTGAGAGATTTTTAAGACAATGAAGTCAACAACAACAGCAGCAGCAGCAGCTTCACCAACAGCTGCACCAGCAGTAACAACTACACCAGCAGCAACAACTACACCGACAGCAACAACTGCACCAGCAGTAGCAGTCGCACCAGTAGCAGCAGCTGCGCCAGCAACAGTAGCTGCTGCAGCAACAGAAGCATAACCAGCATCTGCACAAGCAACAGCAGCTGAAGCAACAACCGCAAGTGTTGCATTAACCTAGCATCGTGTTGCAAGGCAAAGAGACAGCAGCCGCAACAACCAGCTGCAGCTGGTCCAGGACAGACTTTCCAAGCAAGTCTAACAGGCTCAGTTAGAGTATGTAGGAGAGAGGAGATTATTTCCCAGTAAAAGTAGGCCTTAGACAAGAATGTATGTCACCGTGGTTGTTCAATAACATTTCATGAGACAGATGATGATGCTAGTTGTCATAAGTGATTGCTCGGGTGTTGGCAAGAGTGTGGGGTTAAAGATAAGATCTACAACTCAAAGTGGAGATGTCACAGTTTGCTCTTTTGCTGATGACACTGTGCTATATGTGAGAATTCTGAAGAGAAGTTTCTGCAGAGGTTGGTGGATGAATTTGGTATATATGTAAAAGAAGAAAATTAAAAATGAATATAGGACAGATAAAGTTATGAGGGTAACAACAAGTTAAGGTAAACGGAAGATTGATAACAGATTGATGGAGAAGTATGGAGGAGTGGAATGTATTCAGATATTTAGGAGTGCAGCGTGTCCAGCAGACATCTATGAAAGATGAGGTGAATCATAAGCTGACGAGAGGAAAAAGGTGAAGTAGTGGACTGAGTAGTCTGTCGTAGACGAAAGAAACTTCGTCCATGAAGCAAAGAGGGTGGAATAGTATGAGATATCGTGCGTATACCAACGTTCTATATGTGTGTGAAACAGTGTGGTGCAGTGTTGCAGCGAGGAAAGGCTGGAGGGCAGGGAGATGTGGACTGTCTGAGGCAATGTGTGTGTGAAATATCATGTCAGAGAATTCGTTAGTTTGAAATTAGAAGAAGGTGCGGGATTACCAAAACTATTATCCAGAGGGCTGAGAAAGGCTTGTTGAGGTGGTTGGGACATGCAGAGAGAATGGAACAAAACAGAATGACTTCGAGAGTGTATAAATCTGTAGTGGATGGAAGGCAGGGTAGAGGTCGGCCAAGGTAAGGTTTGAGGGAGGGGGTAAAGAAGGTTTTGTGTGCAAGGGGCTTGAACTTCCAGCAAGCATGCATGAACATGTTAGATAGGAGCAAATGGAGACAAATGGTTTTTAGGATTTGTCGTGCTGTTGGAGTGTGAGCAGGGTAATATTTATGAGGGGAGTCAGAGAAACCGGCAGGCCGGACTCAAGACCGGCCTGCCGGTTTCAAAGTGCCTGCACTCCTTCAGGGTGCCTGCACTCCTTCAGGGTGCCTGCACTCCTTCAGGGTGCCTGCACTCCTTCAGGGTGCCTGCACTCTGAAGGACGGGTGTTAATGTTCCAGTTTTATAACTGTAGTGTAAGTGCGTCTCTGGCAAGACAGTGATGGAGTGAATAATAGTGAAAAATTTTCTTTTTTGGGCCACCCTGCCTTGGTGGGAGACGGCCGATGTGTTAGTATATAAATAATTATTATTATTATTATTACTAATATTATTACTGTCATTATTAATAATCAGAGTAAATAAATATATAACTAAGAGAGATAGATAGATAGAGTAGATCTAGCTAGGACAGATAGATAACAGATAATAGATAGATAGATAGATAGAGTAAAGATATATACAACTCTTCATCCAGGGAGGTACTTCTCGCTGAATGGGTCCTCGGTAGTGACAGTTCAGTACAATGACTGTCATGATGATGCTGATTGATGTGATGGTCATGACAGCTGTCAGATATATACCTGTAAGAGACGAGAAATCCAACACCTAGTCATGAACAGAGCTGTCAGATATATACATTAAGAAGAATTCAACACCTGAGTCATGACAGCTGTCAGATATATACCTGTAAGAGAGAATTCAACACCTGAGTCATGACAGCTGTCAGATATATACCTGTAAGAGAGAATTCAACACCTGAGTCATGACAGCTGTCAGATATATACCTGTAAGAGAGAATTCAACACCTGAGTCATGACAGCTGTCAGATATATATCTGTAAGTGAGAGAGCAACACTTCAGTCATGATAGCCATCATATACATATACCTGTAAGTTAGAAAGTAACACCTGAGTCATGACAGCTGTCAGGTATATACCTGTGTGAGAGAGAGAGAGAGAGAGAGAGAGAGAGAGAGAGATCAACACACAAGTCATAACAGCTGTCAGGTATATATCTCCTTTAGCATTTCAGACATACTGGCCCCCTTCAGCAGCTCTGTGATTCTTCACCTTTGCTTGTATAGGTAGCATCTCTCTCTTTCTAGTTTGCATCTTCTCTTCTTTTTCTGAAAGGAATGCCTTGAGCATATCTCAAGTGCCACAGAGTTAATTCTTTTTAATATACTGTTATTCTTCATTCGTGTGTTTTAGGATTAACGACATCAGAGTTTCATATAGACGAGTGGACGACATGTTTCCCATTGTTTGTTTCTGTGTATTAAAGCTGAATTTTGTGAAGACACTCCTCATGACTGATCAATTTATGCTGGTCTAGGAGCCCTGTGCATACATGTCTGTACCTCATTATGTGGTGAACCTGAGTGTAGTATGACTTTGATACTGTTTATATTTCGTATGAGATCATCATTCTATCAGTGAGATGAGGTCGAAGTGTTTTTGTTTTGGACTCGCAGTATTTGCTAGAGATAGAGTGAATTTTGTTTGCAGAGATTTAATAAGCTCATGTGCGAGAGTTTTATCATCTGGTTGCCCTTTTGGGTTATCTTGCTTTAAAACATTATTTCCACATTCCCTTCCATTTAAATTTCTTAAACCTGAAATCACCCAGCAACAAGGTATTTGGTTGCCTGGGCTGAAGATGTTTCCAGACAGTTTGACAATTTCTCAATAGCTGCTCCTTGGAATTACCTGGAAAGATGTATACCGAGGCTTGTATACAACCACTATGACCAGGTATTTGGCTTTCATCTTTACTGGTGCCAAAACTTCAGTACCTCACTGCTCCTCTAATAACCTTATTAAATGCTTACTTTCAAAATCCTTGAATCCATCTATTTTTTCTGATCTTATCTAAGTGTTGTTCACTTACAGTCATCACTGTCAACACTTGGTCAACACTCTTCCTATTTGTCTCAACTCTTCTCTGTACATTACCTATAATGTGGTATGGTATGATTAAGAGGTATACTAACCTGTATTTCTTACATCTTCTTGTCCCTTCTTCTGGTTATCCTTCGATTCTTTCCTTCATTTATACATTTTGTTGAGCGAGTACATCGACCTCGCCTAATCTGTATCTTCACCTGGTTTCAGCATCTCATTATTTCAATCTGTCCCAGTTCCTCATTCATCCCACCCATTGCTTCATGCATTTCCTTCACACTCGCATTCTGTTCTTCCTTACTCCTAACAGATATTATTCCTCCCTGCCCAATGCATCGAGTCACCACTTTGTTAACATCATCAACATTTAACAACTCATCAAAATATTCTCTACATCTTCCTACTGCTAAAGTTTGCTTCCTTACCAGGCTTTCCAAACATATTAATTGCTATTCAAAACTGTTTTTTTTAAGGATAGCAAATGTTATTAACACAGTATCACCATCCTTTTCTTACATACATTCGTAATAAACATCACATATGTTAACATTTTCTCCTTTATCACCCTCTTTATCTCATCATTCCACCAATCACTCCTCTTCCCACCTCCAACCACCCTTCTATATTCAAAATCCTCTACTGTGTACACTTGAAAGTCGACCTTTTATCATTTCCATACCTTTTCAACCTCCTCATTATCTACACTCTTTCTAGCTCTTCTTTATTTCTATAGTTTCTTAAACATCTCTTCTTATCTTCATTCACTCGCATGTTCTTACCCACTGGCATCCTTCTTCTTGCACTCGTCTGTCTCTCACACTGTAGCTTCCACTATACAATGATCTGACATATCGGTTGTTCTTTTAAGAACATTTACAGCATAAAGTTTATCCTGGTCAGTCATCCACTCATATACAAGTCTAACAAACTACCATCACTAAGTTGTTACTATTTATTCTTAATTAAACTATGCCTTCCCTATTGCAAAGCTTCTTGATACACGTAATTCAGTTAATGGACTCCAAGGATCCACTACTGCTGGGCCCCCGGGGATCCACTACTGCTGGGCCCCCGGGGATCCACTACTGCTGGGCCCCCAGGGATCCACTACTGCTGGGCCCCCGGGGATTCACTACTGCTGGGCTCCCGGGGATCCACTATTGCTGGGCCCCCGGGGATCCACTACTGCTGGAACCCCCGGGGATCCACTACTGCTGGGCCCCCGGGGATCCACTACTGCTGGGCTCCCGGGGATCCACTATTGCTGGGCCCCCGGGGATCCACTACTGCTGGTCCCCCGGGGATCCACTACTGCTGGGCCCCCGGGGATCCACTACCACTGACACTCAGAACCGAGCTTTCTACAGCGGTCTCTGATACTTCATAATCTGGGTTGCTCACAGCAACTAAAATCTTTCCTGGTTTGAAATTCCCTAAACATGACTCTAAACTTTTCAATATAGCACTTTGAAATTTACTATAACCCACTTCTCATATTCAGCTTTTATTCTAATCCACCCAATTCTCTCATTTAAAACCATTAACCCTCCTTTTCCTCTTTCTACAGTCGATCATTAAATATCCCTGTGTCTACTCCTCCTTCGGCTTCAGTTCTCTCAGACACACCTGAGGTAAACACATCTCCTATCCACTGAATTACCATTGAATTGCCACTGCAATTTAGTTCTGTTTTTAATCAGTGCCGAGATATACAGCTTCTTGACACTCGAGACATTATTAAATATTTCACCATCATTATCTTCACCTTTCCAGGTGTAACCAAACAAGTCATTAAGTCTTAATGATCACTCGTCTCCACTGACTCTAATTAATCCACTGCTTTTTATACTGGCTCTTTACCATATTATTACTATGCTAATAACTGAGGAGTCTTGCAGTGCCTGCAAAATAAGATATAAGAATGCTTGATCCGAGGAAGCTGAGAGCAGCTGACATCCCTGTGGTTGAGAGTGTCACCAGCAGCTGCCTTGTATGAGAAGAGAAACCTTGACTCACCAATTCTTCCTTCTAGGAAACCCTGACTCACCAATTCTCCCTTCTAGGAAACCTTGACTCACCAATTCTCCCTTCTAGGAAACCTTGACTCACCAATTCTCCCTTCTAGGAAACCCTGACTCACCAATTCTCCCTTCTAGGAAACCTTGACTCACCAATTCTCCCTTCTAGGAAACCTTGACTCACCAATTCTCCCTTCTAGGAAACCCTGACTCACCAATTCTTCCTTCTAGGAAACCCTGACTCACCAATTCTTCATTCTAGGAAACCCTGACTCACCAATTCTCCCTTCTAGGAAACCTTGACTCACCAATTCTCCCTTCTAGGAAACCTTGACTCACCAATTCTCCCTTCTAGGAAACCTTGACTCACCAATTCTCCCTTCTAGGAAACCTTGACTCACCAATTCTCCCTTCTAGGAAACCTTGACTCACCAATTCTCCCTTCTAGGAAACCTTGACTCACCAATTCTCCCTTCTAGGAAACCTCTGACTCACCAATTCTCCCTTCTAGGAAACCTTGACTCACCAATTCTCCCTTCTAGGAAACCTTGACTCACCAATTCTCCCTTCTAGGAAACCTTGACTCACCAATTCTCCCTTCTAGGAAACCTTGACTCACCAATTCTCCCTTCTAGGAAACCTTGACTCACCAATTCTCCCTTCTAGGAAACCTTGACTCACCAATTCTCCCTTCTAGGAAACCTTGACTCACCAATTCTCCCTTCTAGGAAACCTTGACTCACCAATTCTCCCTTCTAGGAAACCTTGACTCACCAATTCTCCCTTCTAGGAAACCTTGACTCACCAATTCTCCCTTCTAGGAAACCTTGACTCACCAATTCTCCCTTCTAGGAAACCTTGACTCACCAATTCTCCCTTCTAGGAAACCTTGACTCACCAATTCTCCCTTCTAGGAAACACTGACTCACCAATTCTTCCTTCTAGGAAACCTTGACTCACCAATCAGTGGGATAGACTCCGAGGTTTCCGGCATCTTCTCTGCTATAGCCAGCATAAAGACACTGAAAGCCAGGAGGACCGTCACCCCCAGGGCTATCTTCTCCCCGGAGTCAGGCGGCAGACAGAACACCAGCAGTGTCAGCACTGACATCATCATGCAGGGAAGTACAACGTTGTACATGTAGTACAGCGTCTTCCGTCTGTTGGGGTAGAAAGTACCGGCAGTGTCAGGGAAGTGTCTCACACAGCCTAAATAGGCATCAACGCCAAGGACATACTATCAAATCATCGACATTCTGTTGATGATAGTACGTGATGAAAGTTCTACTGACGACAGTACCTGATAAACAAGGTTCTGTTGATGATAGTACGTGATGAAAGAGGGTTCTACTGACGACAGTACCTGATAAACAAGGTTCTGTTGACGATAGTACGTGATGAATGAGGGTTCTACTGACGACAGTACCTGATAAACAAGGTTCTGTTGATGATAGTACGTGATGAAAGAGGGTTCTACTGACGACAGTACCTGATAAACAAGGTTCTGTTGATGATAGTACGTGATGAAAGAGAGTTCTACTGACGACAGTACCTGATAAACAAGGTTCTGTTGACGATAGTACCTGGAGAAACAGGGTTCTATTGAGGATCGACAGTTGCAGTGATAGTGAGGGTGATAGTGACATAGGGAGTTACAGCACCTGATTGTGATGGTGATAGTGACATAGGGAGTTACAGCACCTGATTGTGATGGTGATAATGACATAGGGAGTTACAGCACCTGATTGTGATGGTGATGGTGACATAGGGAGTTACAGCACCTGATTGTGATGGTGATAGTGACATAAGGAGTTACAGCACCTGATTGTGATGGTGATAATGACGTGAAGGAGTTACAGCACCTGATTGTGATGGTGATAATGACGTGAGGGAGTTACAGCACCTGATAGTGATGGTGATAGTGACATAGGGAGTTACACCACCTGATTGTGATGGTGATAGTGACATAGAGTTACAGCACCTGATTGTGATGGTGATAGTGACATAGGGAGTTACAGCACCTGATTGTGATGGTGATAGTGACATAGGGAGTTACAGCACCTGATTGTGATGGTGATAGTGACATAGGGAGTTACACCACCTGATTGTGATCGTGATAGTGACATAGGGAGTTACAGCACCTGATTGTGATCGTGATAGTGACATAGGGAGTTACAGCACCTGAATGTGATGGTGATAGTGACATAGGGAGTTACAGCACCTGATTGTGATGGTGATAGTGACATAGGGAGTTACAGTACCTGATTGTGATGGTGATAGTGACATAGGGAGTTACAGCACCTGATTGTGATGGTGATAGCGACATAGGGAGTTACAGTACCTGATTGTGATGGTGATAGTGATATGAGGGAGTTACAACACCTGATTGTGATGGTGATAGTAACATAGGGAGTTACAGTACCTGATTGTGATGGTGATAGCGACATAGGGAGTTACAGTACCTGATTGTGATGGTGATAGTGACATAGGGAGTTACAGTACCTGATTGTGATGGTGATAGTGACATAGGGAGTTACAGTACCTGATTGTGATGGTGATAGTGACATAGGGAGTTACAGCACCTGATTGTGATGGTGATAGCGACATAGGGAGTTACAGTACCTGATTGTGATGGTGATAGTGATATGAGGGAGTTACAACACCTGATTGTGATGGTGATAGTAACATAGGGAGTTACAGTACCTGATTGTGATGGTGATAGCGACATAGGGAGTTACAGTACCTGATTGTGATGGTGATAGTGACATGAGGGAGTTACAGCACCTGATTGTGATGGTGATAGTGATATGAGGGAGTTACAACACCTGATTGTGATGGTGATAGTGACATAGGGAGTTACAGTACCTGGTTGTGATGGTGTTAGCGACATAGGGAGTTACAGCACCTGATTGTGATGGTGATAGTGACATAGGGAGTTACAGCACCTGATTGTGATGGTGATAGTGATATGAGGGAGTTACAACACCTGATTGTGATGGTGATAGTGACATAGGGAGTTATAGCACCTGATTGTGATGGTGATAGTGACATAGGGAGTTACAGTACCTGATTGTGATGGTGATAGTGACATGAGGGAGTTACAGCACCTGATTGTGATGGTGATAGTGATATGAGGGAGTTACAACACCTGATTGTGATGGTGACAGTGACATAGGGAGTTACAGTACCTGATTGTGATGGTGATAGTGACATGAGGGAGTTACAGCACCTGATTGTGATGGTGATAGTGATATGAGGGAGTTACAGTACCTGGTTGTGATGGTGATAGCGACATAGGGAGTTACAGTACCTGGTTGTGATGGTGCCAGTGACATAGTTACAGCACCTGATTGTGATGGTGATAGTGACATAGTGAGTTATAGCACCTGATTGTGATGGTGAGTGACATAGGGAGTTACAGTACCTGATTGTGATGGTGATAGTGACAGTGAGTTACAGTACTAGATAGTAATATCTGGAGTATACCTGGAGAGGGTAAATTTAGAGGATCCGCCCCGCTGCCCGGTCTGAGACCAGGCCTCATGGTGGATAAGGGGCTGATCAACCAAGCTGTTACTTTTGGCCGCACGCAAACTGACGTACGAACCACAGCCCGACTGGTCAGGTACTGACTTTAGGTGCCTGTCCAGTGCCTGCTTGAAGACAGTCAGGAGTCTATTGGTAATCCCCCTTATGTAAGCTGGGAGGCAGTTGAACAGTCTTGGGCCCCTGACACTTATTGTGTTGTCTCTCAGTGTACTCGTGGCGCCCCTGCTTTTCATCGGGGATATGTTGCATCTCCTGCCGAGCCTTTTGCTGTCATAGGGAGTGATTTTCGTGTGCAAGTTTGGTACTAGTCCCTCAAGGATTTTCCAAATGTATATTATCATGTATCTCTCTCGCCTGCGTTCCAAGGAATACAAATCAAGGGCCATGAACCGTTCCCAGTAATTTAGGTGCTTTATCGCACTTATGTGTGCCGTGAAAGTTCTTTGTACACTCTCCAGGTCTGCAATGTCGCCAACCTTAAAGGAGGCCGTTAGTGTGCAGCAATATTCCAGCCTAGATAGAACAAGCGACCTGAAGAGAATCATCATGGGCTTGGCATCACTAGTTTTGAAGGTTCTCATTATCCATCCTGTCATTTTCCTAGCAGATGAGGTAGATACCATGTTGTGGTCTTTGAAGGTGAGATCCTCTGACATTATCACTCCCAGGTCCTTCACATTACTTTTCCGCTCAATTGTATGGTTAGAATTTATTGTATATCCTGTATACTTCTTCAAGTTTCCCATATCTGAGTAGTTCATAAAGATTGAATGATAGTGACATTAATGGTGATAGTGACATGATGGAAGTTACAGATCCTGATAGTGATGGTGATAGTGACATCATGGAAGTTATAGTTCCTGATAGTGATGGTGATAGTGACATGAGGGAGTTACAGTTCCTGAAAGTGATGGTAACAGTGACATCATGGCAGTTACAGTTCCTGATAGTGATGGTGATAGTGACATCATGGAAGTTACAGTTCCTGATAGTGATGGTGATAGTGACATCATGGAAGTTACAGTTCCTGATAGTGATGGTGATAGTGACATCATGGAAGTTACAGATCCTGATAGTGATGGTGATAGTGACATCATGGAAGTTACAGATCCTGAGAGCGATGGTGATAGTGACATCATGGAAGTTACAGTACCTGCTAGTGATAGCGACATCACTGAGTTATAGTACCTGATAGTGACATCACTGAGCACAGTACCTGATAGTGATGGTGATAGTGACATGAGGGAGTTACAGTACCTGATAGTGATAGTTACATAACTGAGTCACAATACCTGACAGTGATAGTGACTTCACTGAGTCACAGTACCTGATAGCGATGGTGATAGTGACATCACTCAGTCACAGTACCTGATAGTGATGGTAATATCACTCAGTCACAGTACCTGATAGTGACAGTGACATCACTGAGTCACAGTACCTGATAGTGATGGTAATATCACTCAGTCACAGTACCTGATAGTGACAGTGACATCACTGAGTCACAGTACCTGATAGTGATAGTAACATCACTGAGTCACAGTACCTGATAGTGTTAGTGACATCACTGAGTCACAGTACCTGATAGTAATAGTGACATCACTGAGTCACAGTACCTGATAGTGTTAATGACATCACTGAGTCACAGTACCTGATAGTAATAGTGACATCACTGAGTCACAGTACCTGATAGTGTTAGTGACATCACTGAGTCACAGTACCTGATAGTGTTAGTGACATCACTGAGTCACAGTACCTGATAGTGTTAGTGACATCACTGAGTCACAGTACCTGATGGTAATAGTGACATCACTGAGTCACAGTACCTGATAGTGTTAGTGACATCACTGAGTCACAGTACCTGATAGTGTTAGTGACATCACTGAGTCACAGTACCTGATAGTGTTAGTGACATCACTGAGTCACAGTACCTGATAGTAAGAGTGACATCACTGAGTCACAGTACCTGATAGCGATATCACTGAGTCACAGTACCTGATAGTGATAGTGACATCAATGAGTTACAGTACCTGATAGTGATGGTGATAGTGACATCAGGGAAGGGCTCAGGACAGCAGGAGTAAAATATGACATTACGGATGATCCTGGCCTCCAGCAGTTCCCACTCCCCGTTAGGTATATAGTTGGTCAGGTCCACCTCGGCCGTCCTGTTAGTCACGTCCAC